AATTTTTGCAGTATGATTTAATTTTTCGAGAAATTTTGAAAACACTGGTTGCAGAATGAGGAACAGCTCAATATCCTGAATGAAGCAGCAGCGTCGCTTCGTGAGCGTCACAGCGAAGTTGTTGCTCAGCTGTCCCAAAAACCAGGTTGGTCAAGAATGCATATGTTAATGATGAAAAAGTAGATGGTGAGAGGACAAATCAAATGATTGTATTCGCTCCTTTTCTAAGTCGCTACGCCTTCTCCGTATCAACTATAACTTTTTCTTTCAAAAAACTTGAATTTATAATCTATTTTGAAGTAAGCAAGTACACAGAGTTAGAGCGAACTTACAAGTTAACGTTAATACCTTCAACCTGAAGACACACGTACACCTAAGGGAGCATTTTTGTGCAAACTAAAAAAGTGTCACTTGGGTTTATAACTCCAGTTTTCATTTCAGACGACCCGAAGGTGGTAGAACAGCTGGAGAACGAGATCAAGAAAATGGCAACACAGGTGGAGATGTGGATCCGGGAGCTAGCTGATATTAGTGAAGCACGTACCAAACTACAGGTCCATAACCAGTCTTTCTTTTGCCACTCACTCATTTTACATAAGCTGGGCAGATGCTTCCAGAGGTTCCTGGTCAGAGTAATTTTATGATTGTTGCATTTGGATACCCTCATGGCAGATGTACGAGTACACACCCTATGTTCCCGTCCTCATTTACATTTAGTTTTCTAGTGATCAAAGAAAATCTAGTCTCTGCTGCCCAAGCCAGATCGTCGAAATAGCGCGAGGCAAATTTCTTTGATCCCAAACGGGTAAAAACCGTTGTTTTTGTAATCTTTAAGATGCGATACGTACGCCTGCGGTCGATGGTGCATCTCAATTCACTGAATATGCAGATGGCAAATATTGGCATTGACCGCATCGAACAGAACTACGATAATATAGGGGATGACTCCATGCATAGCTCAATCAGTGATGACAGTGGCGAGCATATGAATGGTACTAACAGAAATACTAATGATAGTGACAATGCTAGCTAGCCTTTTATGGCACTTACCGCTGCCATACCCAAAATCGGCTTCCCAAACTGACAAACCGCCCGTCATAACTTTGATCTAAAGCTTTACGAAACTAAACTGCCCCAATTGTACCCATCGCATGTAAATAAATATGGATTTATATATAAAGACGAGAACAATATGTCCTTGTTTCGGCACAATAGCACTTCCCAGGAGATGCATAAAGCACCACGCATACTCTACTTTAAACACAACAGAAGCGCGCATACATCATTATATGTCACTGACATCTATCTGCAAAATTTAGACGCTGGCAAGCAGGCCAACGTTGCCAATGCATCTGGCCGAATCTTATTCGCATTACTCACAAAGGAGGCAGAAAATGAGTAACCTGACCACAGCCCGGTGATACCTAAGACAGTATGAGGATAACCAGTTGTTCGCCTGTAACGGGCCATTTGCCCCCATTCGCCATCCCCCTCCCCCTTCCCTCGTCTCCGTTCGCTGCAACCGAATACTACCTACC